ATTGGAATAACTTATAAAACGATAACGGTAAGCAGCAGCATTAACAGTAATAGTAGTGGCAGCAGCAGCAGCAGCAGTAACAGTAAAGGGGTTAGCAACTTGCATTAACATTTTTTAATTTTAATAATGTATTCTCATAAATTATTGCTTTTTACTCATTATAATATTTGCTTTTTTTTTTATCTTTAAAAGAAATAGTCATTAGTTTTGCTAAGAAAATGGTTATTTTCAAAAAAAAAAAACACTTTTCTTTGTCCACTTTTTTTTCTGTCTGTTTTTGTTTGTCCTTCCTTATGTTATGAACAGTTGTAAACTTAAACCAATAATAGTTTTTTTTTTTCTGTATTTTTTTTTTTCTCAAGACAGCCGCTTAAGTTTGAGGTTTTTTGAAGACTGAATGGATGAGCGGAAACACAGAAAATAAGCGAGAGAGATAGGGCGACGAAGAGAAGATTGATAGGCGGAGAGGAAGATAATAAGACAGAAGGAGAGGGATAGAAGGAGGGCGAGAAAAAAAAAAAAGACAGAAGTTAAGGAATAGCGGGGAGAAAAGATGGGGAGAAGAAAAAAAAAAAAAAAGTGGTTTGTGAAGGTTTCAAATTACTGGGCATTGCTGTAACTTGTCACATATAATAATAGAGCACGAGCCCAGAAACAAAAAGATTTCCACCATCCGAACACCGCCCACTGTAACCGATTCGTTTGGCTTCAATTTGTGACGCAAAAAAAAGCATTGTTCAACTATAATAAACCTTAAATTCTTCACCGATTTTGCACTCCACTTTTATTGTTCATCTTATATCAGTTTGCCAACAATTTTATTCTTCCGATATTGGTTTTCCCGGGATTCTGTGTTAGTTTACACAGGTAGCTTGCTCTGCAGAAATTAACAGCAGTGATGATATTCAAAAGTGAAATCTGTATTCAATATCACATTTTTCTTTTTGTTTTGTTTTTTTTTTTTGTTTACTTTTTGACTACTTTTTTTAAAATTTGATTACCGTACGCAACAGTTTTCAATAATAATAGTATTGTTTTGAACTATAAACTGCAAAAAGTTTTGAG